TAACAGCAAGAATCAAGGATGCTAAAAGCAGTCCTACCTGTGTCCTAGATGACAGGCTGCAATGTTCCTTTTCCCCCATGCAGTCATACCACTGCCTACCCAAGGACTCAACTCATACAAAGGATCAGCTCATGACCTTTAACCAGAAAAGACCTGGTTAAAGGGGTAGCAGATATGACCAAGGCAATACTGACAGGAAAAACATACAACAACAAAAAACCAAAAAAACAAAGCCCAAAAACTCCAACAAAACAAACAAAAAAGTGCACTTTTCTGAAAAGGTGCTCTAGCCCTGAGGAGTTTCCACAGCTGGAGGCATGTGCCAAGAGGAGGCAGGGAGACAGAACTTCCCCCAGGAGCTAACCTCTTCCAGCAGAGCCCCCACACTGCACTTGCAGCGTGCTTGCCCAGCAAAGGCATGGCCTGGTGCCAGCAGACAGCGATCAGGCCCCCACTGCGCACACCTCCTGTCCCACACAGCACAAGTGCACTGACAGGGCCTGCCCTGCCAGGCTGGTCATTGCCTCTGCGTGTTTCACTACTGCTCCAGTGACCAAGATTTATAAGGGTCCCGTACCCATCGAGAGCTCAGCTCTCCCAGCACTGGACATCTCCCCTCAACTGTTCCACAAGTGGAGTCCAGCTTACTAAATGCCATGGAGGAAACAGTCCCCATCAAAGCACGAACTGTCAACTTCAAGATAACATTTAAATATTTGAGAAGTAAATGCAAATAAAGAGATTCAAAATGAGAAGGCTCAAAGGTCAACCCTGCTTTGTGCTAATGGCATTAATATTTGCAGCAAGACTAGTTTGCTGGGAAAGGCAAAGAACTGGAGGACTAAAAGAATAAAGTGTAAAAAACCAAACTTGCCACCTTGATGGATTTAACTAAGACTTGCTCTTAAAGGCATACTCATTGCAGCTTGTGATGATATTAAAATTTCTCAGCTTATATATGAAAAATTAGTGATTTCCTCATTTGAGAGAAAAGTGACAGCTGAACCCAAACAGGCAAATGATAAACCTTTTACCTCGTCTTAGTATCTTACAACCTAAATATTTACACCAAAGAAAGTACTTACAATGAAACCCGAAGGTTGTCTTCCAGGTGCATTCAACTGTTACTTTTGTTCAGGAAAGCAAAACCAGGGACAGAAGGGAAGTACTGGCTTTAGGATAATACAGAGCATTACAGATACTTTACACACTTTTCCTGTGCAAAAGAGAAGATGTGCTGCAGCACAAAGCATGGCTCAGCACAACTCATACAGTACAGCTCCTTTTATCCAAAAGCACACCAGCAGGCCCAAAACTTGAACTACTGGAGACTGGTTACACAGCAGGGGCATCCCCAGGCCCTGAGTTTCAAAGACAGCTGTTCTGAAGTTACAAGAGGAATGGGCACAAGGAAACTCTGTTAGAAATCCACATTTCTCTCCTCCCATGACAGAGATATATCAACAGCTGTGAGTTTTGTATGACACACCAGAAGCACATTCCTAAAGGTCTCTGCAGCATCAGCTAAGTTTCCTGGAGGTTAAATCTCCAGCATGCTGGCGGTCCTGAATAAAGGCAGCACTAGAAGTCACCTATCCACCCTAACATAATTTCATTCCACACTTACAGTGACATACAGACATCACCTGGAAGGCATCATCATCAGCAAGGAGTGTTGACAAGGATCTAGTTAGGCAGCTTTAATAGTTTATCTTCGTCACAAAAAGGGTTCCTCTACACCTGACCCTTAAAAAATAAACACATATATTTTTCTACTACAGTTCTCCCTCCCAAGGCCATGCTATTCTCAACTGTTCTAATCTACTTGCACAAATAAAACACTACCTTCTTTTAGGATTTGCACTACTTAACCACCAAACCACTAATTTGCTTTATAAACCACTAGGATCTTTGTCACAATGGCCACTCTCCTGATTTGCTGCACTCCTGTCCCCCTCCTCTCCTTCCTAGAATCTTATTCTCTATTGATCCTCATTAACCTTCAATCTCTTCTACCAGCTTCCTACAAACCCCACTTGCCTTACAACATTGCTAAGAGCACAAAAAAGTTTTATTCTCTTTCTGAACAGTTAAATCGGTGTCTAAGGATATGTCTGACGCAAAATTCTTTAAACACCATGTTGGTCTTCTTATCAGGACATTGAAAATGGTCTTTCTAGCCAGAAATGCAGCAGCGGCATTCGACTTTCTAATTATGACTCTGCATGTGTCAAAGCTTACCATGTTCCATCCCTGTCTGTGGGCTGAAAACTCAAGACAACATCCACCATAGGTGCTTATCTCACTCTACAGAAAGGCAACATTTTTCAAGTAAGACATATTTTTCCCTTTACTGATGAAGTAAAAGATGTATCTCAAAAGCAGCAGTAATGGTATTTTTTTTTGCTTTGAAACAAGAAATATTTTTCCCAATTGAATTAAGATGACTGGCTGGACCTAAAATGCAGAGCCCACAGGATTTCAAGATGCTCTTTTGTTGCCCTACTGTTCAATTCTTTGGCTTGTGCTCCCACTGAAATGCTTCTTACTATGCTAGGTGGATAAACACACTTATTTTTGCATTCACAGCATTGAACCTATAGAGAAGAAACACAGGAGACATCTCCATCCAGCATCAACCATGCCAAAGTACGCAAGAAATAAGGGAGCAACCCAACAACCTCTTGAGATTAGGTACTCTTCTCAGTACAAAAAATCCAGAAGTTCCCCTCCCCATTCCATAATAAAAGGATCACTGTACTAGGCTGGGCCAAAAGCTCATTTTATTCTTCAAAAGTTTAGCAACAAGCCCGCTGCAGCCCAATCCACCTAGCACATCCTGTAACTCATCTGTGCAACCCCACACCAGAGGGGTTACTTCAAATCCCTTTAATAACATCCAGAAGCAGTCCTCCAACTCCAGTGCAACACTTTGCAGAAGCAGAGCCTCAGGTATTCCTGTTTGCAGGGGAAGATGAACGTTCCCCAGAGGTTTCAGTTCATTAAAAGGAAAACATGGTTTTATATGCAGACCAACACACACAGATACGCACATATACAACCTCTTGTGACAATGCCATAATCCTGTTCCAATTACTTTCACAAAGGTACAAACATTTCTGAGCTTGCTGTTCAAGTGCCTTTAGTATCATCTGCACTCTGGACTATTGGCAGCTTGTTACCAAGCCTCAGCCAGACACAGATTCCCAGGTTTAGCAGAGCCTTGACAGATTTGGCCACAAAAGTTGAAGATTCAACAATCTACAGTTTCCTACTTTGCCCTACCCCTTGTTTCTTCCTTGCCACCCATGTCAGCATGCTGAGGTTATACCCACAGCTTTACACACCACACACCAGCTATTCCAGCAGTATTTGCAGTAACAGCCCAGGCTGAAGTTTGCCACAGTTCCACAGCAAATGCACTTCTTGCTCTGCCATCCCCACTGCAGAATCACTATCAGCTGGCAGCATGAACAGGAAGTGGGAACTACTTGTGTTACTTCAGTTAAATGTAAGGGCTGGAGAAGCAATGGCAGACATGGGTTGCACAGATGAAAAACATTCCACATATTCTAAAAAATAGTGCCTCAGCTGCCCTGGGAACCAGTGCAGGATTCAAAAGGGAGAGAAAGGAGGAAAGGAATTGGGACACGGTGATAAACAAGCAAACTTTCTTCTATCCCACTGGCAGGAGTTTTCCTGTAATACTAGGGACAAACCCAAACTCTCCCCAAATGATTGCCTCTAGCAAATAAAAAGGAAAAGACTGAGTGGAAATAGGAAGAGACAGAGAAATGTGTATCTTCAGACTAGCCAGCAGCTGTCCTTAAGGAGGAGCGGGATGGTGATGAGTCAGAACCTGGACTATAGTTCACAACTAGTTTCACCTGAAGAACAAATGGCACTTAGCACCCCTCCTGCTTCCCTCCACAATGAAACTCACACCAGTTTCCATCTTTTGCATTCTAACCCAAGAATCCACGATGAATTGGACCAGACAACTCCTGAGGTTTTTCCTAAAACAGCTGATTTCCCTGCTAGCAACCATAGCCAAGAATTGAAAGCCCCTTAATATTCTATGTATGTGATACTGCTTTTCTTGCCAGGAGCAATACTGAAGCAGTGAATTAAAAAAAAAGGATTCAGATCCCATCAGCACTTCTCTTAACCCCCACTTTCTGAAGACCAAAATTTGGTAGGTGGCAAAATTCCCCTCCAACACCTTTAAATTCTTCTTCATTAATCCATTCCCCTCAGATTTTGTTCCTGTGGTGGTTTTTTGGTTTTTTTTTTTTTTAGTGAGGTTTTTTTGGGGGGTTTTTTTGGGTTTTGTTTTCATTCTTTTTTAGTTTTTTGGTTTTTTTCAGAGGAGGGAAAAGTTCAGACTAAACAAATCCTATTTCAGAGTTTAACAAAAACATACAGAAAATTTTCTGTTTTATATATTTAGAAGAGATAAGGAAATAAAATAGGCTTCCCAACAAAGTTGCATGCATCCATAACATGGCCACTGGAATGACTTTAGACTTTTTCCGAGCACATGAAATGAAAAGCAGGAGTACCCAATGGAATATATCAAGAATCATGCTGAGATGTTCACTTTTCTTGATTAAAGGAAATGAAATATTTTTTTTACCTCAGCCTGTCCTCCCTGTCCTCTCAATACTCTGTCAGCCTCTCAAAACTCTCACAAGCAGCATGTCTCTGCATTTAATGAAATATTTATTCTGATTTGTTTTCTTGCGTCATTTGAAGTGAAATGCTGTAGAAGGCACAAGGATCCCTTCCAAGCACAGTGAAAGATGGGACCTCTTAAACCGAGGGCAGCTGTCATTCCCAAATCCAAGGGTCAAAAATGAAAATGGGACATAGAGATGAATCCAAGCCTATGCAACATGACAAAAAGTATAATGGGAATCCTAGCTCACAGACACTTATATTAACCAGTAAAATATCACACTCATTTCTCATAGTACAGCAGTAAATGTAAGTTTACTCACATGCAGGTCCTTTGGATTTGCTTAGCCAACCTAAGACAGACAAAAGGAGAGTTCAGCATTATTATTATGCTATCATGGTTTAAGCCAGCAGTTGGCTAAACATCACAAAGCTTTCATTAATTCTTCAGCCACCAGAACTCGTTAAAATTTAAAAAGTTATGTGGCTTCTTGAGATCCTTATTACTCCCTTCAAGGCATTTACTTAAGTAACACTGCCTGGGTCAGTGTGTGCAGCAGCGTGAATATTATCATTATATGAATAGTCTAATTCTGAACCTACCTGCATCTGCTTCCTAGTCATCTCTGCAGCCTGGCCATTATTCTGCAGCTCCTCACCATGCTCCTCCATACCACTCTGCTCTTACTAAGCTCTAAAAAGGGACTGGAAAGAGGAGTTGCTCCTGAAAATGTTCCCCCTTCTCTCCACGAAGAAAGCCACTCTGCTTTGGGCTGACACTGCAATTCCTCCAAACCCACACTTCCATGAAGCATAAAGGTTAGAATCAAGATCATCTGCTCATGCATGACACTTTTCCACATTTCTGTCTGGCCATCCAGCGCTACAGTGTCCTTGTTTTCAGGGCCATTGAACTCATCCCTAGCTGTATAAATGCCTCCCTTTCAGCTGCACAATCAGAGACAAAGGAAAGCTCTGCTTCATAGAGATTCCCAGAGAATAGGAACAAGTCTGGATCTGCTCAATGAGCAGAGAGCGCTCTAACAAGCTGCTCTGTGCAATGCAAACAAATAGCAGCGGTGTCCAAGAGCTTCTGTGCAGAATAACCTTGGCACTGAAACAACCTGAGAACAGCAAGCAGCAGATTGGCTGCATTTGTGTCACAGACAACACACAGGAATGAAGTAGTTTCAGTTTATTCAAGCTCAATTTATCACTTTAATGGCAATCCTAAAAATTAAAGCACTAACTTTATAGCATTTTGCACGTGCAGTCAACAAAAATCAGACTGTGTCTAAATCTAAATGGATTTCAATTCACTGAATCTGCATTACTATTAATTTTTCAAGGTTAATATTTACACTCTCTCCTTTATGGGTATTGATATTTGGTTAATTCAGGATGTTTAATACTTTTACCAACACATTTACTTGCATTTCCCAGGATCAGGTGATGCTATTATCAATAATGAAAGGCCCAGCCTGTTTTGATAGGTTTCTGACAGAGCCAGTCATGAATCCAAGAGAGATTACACATTTGGAACATAAATCATAGGAAGCTTTCAGAGTATTTTACAGACTACATGTTAAAATTTAATGAACAACTTAATCTGATCCACTGCCATTCTTCCAAAAATAGCCTGGCCAGGCAAGAGGGCCATTGTGAATGAGATATAAATACAAGGCCTTGAGGGACAGAGATGGGAGGGAGAGGGGGTAAAATTACAAAAGTCACAGCAACAAAGAAAAAATAGGGAAGCATTATCTGTGGAAATGCAGATTAAAAGGTTGTCACTCACTGCTCTTCTCCAATGCTTAAAAAATTCCCCATCTCTATCTACTAAGCATCCTGGCTATTAGCTACATTCTTAAAGAAACAGAAAAGATGAAGAACTAAGCCTCAATATTACTGAGGAGCTTTCCAAGTCTCCTTGCTCGCTCATTCCTTCATTATTTCCCACAACTAATCTTGGAGAACTTGCCAGACAAGGAAAAACACTGCAACAGTGATAAGGCTCAAAAAATATTCCTGAGCAGCACTCAAGTTTCCATAAATCCTCCTCTTCTGACACAGCTTCACTGCTTGCCTATTACCAAACGCTGCATTTGTTTTGTCTTAAAATACGTGCAGTGGTTATTTTCATATACATGCATATCTTCCCGTGAAAAGGGAACAGTTTCCCCAAATTCTGCAGTATGTTTAATGACTAAGCAACTTATATTCATCTCATGGCACTTGAGGATATTTGGATAGACTGCTTAAGACAAAGTGCTGAGGATTTTTCTTAAAAATCTATGCATAAATAAAACCCATTTACTACCAGAGGACAGAGCAGATGCTTGCTGACTGAAAATGAGTCTGCTCTCTGCATTAACCACATGGCAAAGAGAACATCTTCCTGCCCAGATCATGAATATGTCTCTAAGCTTCCTGGAACTTAAGCAATAGAATTTCTAAGCAGCAAAATGACTGCAATACAATATACCTCAGATGGTTTTATACTACGAATCACAAGCTCTGCTTTCTTACTCAGGGCTGAGCCAGGCATTGTCTCCATGCTTGTCTTTTTATGAGAACATTCTTCAGCTTTTATAGCAATTTTGAGCTTGTCACACCGGCTCCACATTCAAGATAAGCATTACCACCATGAGATTTAATACAGTCTCCTGCTCCACGTTAACATCGTTTTGCTCTGCTTGCTCTGAATGACTTTGCTCTGCAAAGTAATAAAGTGAGGATGGCAAGGGGGTTGGGGCACCAAGGGGAGGCAAAGCTGATTTTCCAAGCGCCTCGCCAGTACTCTTTGTTGCTCCATCTGGCTCTCTGCTCCTCAGCTGACTTGCTCATTGATGTTACTCATGGCTGGCATGCTGCTGCAGGTGCAGCTCCCTCGACCCGTGACGCATCACTGAGCACCCCCATCCCTCCCAGCAATTGCCTTTTGGGCTGCTGCATCCCAGCCTCAGAAAAACTGTACATGGAAGCGCTCCTCAGCAAGCCCTGCCCCAGGATTTCTTCCCCTGCATGTCTTGCCCTCTGCTATGATCCTGGCTCCCCTGTTTTCTCACTTCCCCTGCAGGAAATGGTTCCTGCCTAACCACTATAATCCTGTTTAGCTGATGATCTGCCTTGATCAGTTCACCACAGCTGGTTTCAGATCCTGAAGCAAAAATAACACAGAAAGGGAAACACAATGCAGAATCACTCTTGGGTCTTCTGGAATGCCTAGCTAGTGCTTTTGTAATGTGACTGGATGTCTCAAAAATTATATTAAAAAGGATTGCCAGTATTGTGGCAGCTTTTCCCCATCCAGCAGTCTGTGCAGCACAAGGCATTTGCATACTTATTGCAGTCTCAGCTGAAGGTGCTGCAGTGCCTAATGGGGGTTTCAGATGGCATATCTGACAGGCCTACATCTGAAATGAGGCAGTGACACTATCACCAACAACAGCAAGCCTAGACAAAAATACATAGATACCCCAGATCCAAAAACATCTTGTCCCTTTCCCACTGTCAGTAACTATTAATGACAATTTATCATGCTCTTAAGGGTGTCTTCCCCACCCCCTCGTTACCTACAAGGCCAAAATCAGGTCAGGAAGACATATAATCCTGAGATATCTGATTTCAGTAGTCTCTCCCTTCCAACTCAAAGAGCCAGGAATAGTAAAAGGAAATCAACTCCTCCTCCAGAAGTTTTCAGCACCAGCCAACTTTTCCATACAGGATCACCTCAACTTTGACAGCATCTGGCAGCTAATGTTTATTCTGCTGTACCACACTGATGCTGAGGAATGTTGGTCACATCACATTCTCAGGTGCCATGATATGTCAAATAAATAGAACTTTTTAGAGTTATGTCAAGATCTGAGGTTTTCTTTACGTAGGCAAGCTAATGCTCTATATTACAACAGCTGCTCAAGTCAAATCTGTATTTTTAGGATTAACTCCTTCAAATCTCTTGGAAAAGCAAACAAGGTTCCTCCTTCCATCTCATGCCTCCTATGACCAGACATCTCTCTACAGACAAAAACTAGATCGTGGCTGGTCTGAAAAGAAGACATATTTCAGGGTATCCTGGGTAACCTAGCACATACTTCACATCATGTACTACCTTCTGAGTATTCAGTACTTTTCCTTCCTTCACTTATTTCTAAGAGGCAGATCTCCCATCTCTGATGACATTTTTCATATCATCCCATTCCACTGCTTTTTACACTATTCACAACACTCATCCATCTGAGAAACATCGAAAGATGAGGGGAGACGGAAAACTTAAGCTGAAAAGAGGATCCAATAGAGGGGCAGAGGTAGCAGTGTTAAGGGGTCAGAAGACAGCATACACTGAACAGATTCAACAGCTGTGCAAAAGAGCTGGACACAATCTCTGCTTCCATCCCTCCACGTGAGCAGTTGCTTCAAGGCACACAGATAACACTGCTTACACGAGAATCTCACTCAACAAAACCACAGTCCATGCTCTTGAGATGCCCCAAGTGTCCCCAGCTGCAGTGAAGAGATGAGAACGGAGGGGAAAAAACCCATGGGAATCAAAGTACAGGATGAAGAACAAGCATTTATTTACTAATATGCAAGATTCATTCAGTTCAGACACTTCCTGCTCTGCTCAGCAAGTAGTGATGGAATTTTTCCTGTGAGTACTGAAAGATGTGTACAAATACAACCACCATCACCAGTTTTCACCTAAAAATATACAGCCACTTCCAAACTAATATACCTCCTCCTCCCTGCAGCATACATAAAGGTTTCACTTACCTGTGGACTGTGCTTCCAAGATAAAGGAACCAAAGATAACTAGCAGACGAAACAACCCATGGCCAGCCGAAGCAAACGATGATCCTGTGTTGCTCTTTGATGCTACCATTCCATGGCACATCTTTCACCCCCAAGGTTTCTTTTCAAAAAATTTCTGAAAGATCTGGTTGATCAGGAGCACCTTGGTCTAAAAAAAAAAAACAGACAAAGCAAGAAAAAATGTTGAGCCAAACACCTACAACATCTGGAGAGGGAGAAGGGAAAGTCAGAAATAAAGAGAAACTTTTTTCATGCTTAGGAATCTTACTAAGTATTCACAGTTCTCAAGGTCACAGGAGCAGAAAAAGCAGTCTTCTACACAGGAAAGACTAAAAGGAGCTGTATTAGAGAAAGACCATAACTTTTCACTCACTGATGTTTCAAATGTGAAGACTGCCTAGCTAACAATTAATTTTAGCTCTTCTTTTCAAGCCAGCCCCAGAGGACAGCATCTGGAGGATTTGTTTCAAAAATTCTTCAAGAGAGCCACTCTTTCTCCACTCCCACCACTTTTCAGAGGGTCTCTGAGACACAGCAGACTGTAGGATAAATCAATCAAATGCTCCTGCAGCCACCTGGAGAGGCACAGCAATGCTGACAGGCAGCCAGCAGGCAAACACATACTTGTGAGGAGGAATGTAAAACAACTGGCAAGCCCCAGGTATAATGATGTGACAGGACACAGCACAGCAATTAAAACTGCAGGATGTGACACTGCTCATACCTGAGGACTGAGGGATTCACCCACAGCCTCTGAGGCACTGTCACAGCAAAAACAGCCTCATACAGAAACACACAAAGCATAGCTGGGAAAGAGAAAGCACAAACTGAGCCCTTACTTTTAATGAAGACCCAGCAGAACACATTTCACCAACCTACCATAGTTTTAACCTGCAAGGCCTCTAATGGTAAACACACCAACAAATGATCAACCAACCAAAAACACCCTGGAAAAACAAATCAACCAACAAAATAAAACAACAAAAAAACACCCACATGGAAACACACTTCAGTACTTGTATCCTGCTATTCAATACACATCTGAAGCTCTCACGTGAAAACAAATTTGCCAAAACTAATGTTTTTTACACCTGATAACAAGAATACTTTTAATTCTGAGGAAAACCCCATTCAGCCACAGCTTCTTCAGTTAAATGAATATGCAGACTGAAGGAAGATTAGATTTTTTATTTGGCCAGGTTTCCCAAGGAAATTCAAAACTGCTGGATAATCTCAAAGAGACCTGAGAAGTGCAGAGGCAAGTATTGTACTCTTTTGTACCTTGTGAGGACAAACAGGACATCTGGGTTATCACTCCTACTACTGGGGAAGGCAGAACCTTCAGACCCTTGAGTACTTCCAAGATTAAAGCAATACACCAGCACAGACTAGAGAAACACACGACTCAGCCTCAACTCACATTTCCAATTACTCAGGCAAAACAGTAAATGCATTATGGAAGGGAATACGTAGATTTGTTAACAAACCTGATAGCCATTCTAGTGAAAAGAGGGCTTTCCCTACATCACTACTATGCCTATACTTCACAAAAGGGCTATCTTTAAATTTGGATCTTTCTTTTTGGATCTCTCTCAAAGAAAAATTCTTTGTCTGCATACACCCTGCCTTGAAATGTCATTTCAAGATGACAAAGTGTAATGCACATTGGAGCTGCTGCTGCAATAAACTCTGTGTCTACCCCTTTTGTTTCCTGCTTCATTTGGAGGAGGGGGAGAGGAGTGAATCTATATCACTATGTCTGTAGCACAGCCTATAGATTTCTCATGTATTCCATGAATAAGGAGACAATGCTTGTTCAAATCTCCACCATGCAGAACTGAATAAGGATACTTCCACTTACCTGCTAGAATACCTTCAGCATCAATTAGACCATGGAATGAAAAAAAAAATACTCCATGTGAAGAAAGCCAAGCCAAGTAATCTATCTGCTCTGTCCTCTCAAGTCAGACCTCCTGCATGGCATCTAAGTTCATATTTAGTCAGAAGAGGCCACTCCATCCTCTATCCTCCAGGCCAACAGATGGCTGCTCTCCTCCAAGAGTCACTGCTCTACGCAGAATTACAGCTCTGAAAAAACAGTGCACCATCTTCAACAAATGCCCTTCTGATTAGACCAAGAAAGCTCTGTTCTCTCTATTCCAATTTAATGAAGCCTCATTAGTATAAGAACCTTTGAAAGTACTGCCCCAGTATGTTTAAAAGGTGGCCCACCCTGCCCTTGGAACAATGCATGTCAGGTGACATGGTAGCAGCCAGGAGAGGTAGGAGGAGGGCATGCAATTATCACAAAATTTGGTGAGCCACCTGAGGTGTGCTAACTTTCCCCACAGGCATTTTCCTCCCCCAAAGAATGCACCCAGAAGTCAGCAGTGCAGTTCTGATCTCTGAACAGCGAACAAGTTAGAAATATCTAAAACAAGAATATCTTCAGAGGGAATCATTTATTGCTTATTCTTGATTCACTAACAGATTGCTCCAAAGCACAGCACTGTTTATCTCCTTTCTTTTAAAATCAGACATGGTTTCCACACCTTTCTTTAGCTACCAAGTCACTTGAATCCCAGGTTACCACATATCCTGTCTATTGCAGGCCCAGGGCTGCCACTCCAGGAATGCTGTAAATTGATGCTGCTACAGAAACATCCCACTAAGCTGATGTAGTTTGGTGTGGAATCGAAGGAGACACAAGGGTAGCCAGCCCATCCAGTGGGTGCCAGCATAGACAAACCCCTCAGGATTGTTAGGAGACATGGGGTACAGGTACTGCTTGTGAGGATCCTCCCTTTGGGCTTCAGTCAAGTTACAAAATTCGTTCCCAGCCTTGACTGTTCCCTGACAAAATTAGAAGAGAGAGGTTCTGACTAGATAAGAAACTATCCCTTTTTCCCAGAGGAAAGCTGATTTTAAGGCTATTTAGACAGACATTAAATTCTCTGAAAATTGACTGTTGTTTTAGCACACTCCTCATACCTACAGCTCAGGGAAAAGCAGCTTTTATAAGAACTCCTCAGGCCTCCACTGCCTGAAGTTAGCTGGAGTGCAGTATAGATCACACACATTTGTCAGACATACTCCCAGGGGCATAGCTTAACAATTCAGGGGTTTGGGAGAATCAAAGTGTACACAAAGCACTAAGGAACAGGCTAGTTTCTTTAATGGATACTAAGAACAGTAAGGCAGAAGCTGACAGTGGCACAAGTATGAAGAGCAAGGGCATTTCAGACCCATTTCACACACCACAGCCTAGGTTGAAGCGTTATGTAAGGATTAAGTTTAAACAAAGATGTTTACAAAGATAATATTCAGTACAGCCAGCAGTGTCCATAAACACAGTAAGGAGTGAAGGAGATTTTTCTCTGTTGAAAGTATATCAGCCAATAAAGGTGGAAGATTTTTTGCTTTCTTTATAATGTGAACCTTGAAAAACACCTGCTAAATATGGATAAGACAATAAGCCATCCTCTATATCTACAAAGTCAATAGTCACACACCCTCTTAGGGAATACTATGAACAAGTGAAGAAGTACCCATTGCTCCCAGCTTAGGGACATCTCGAGCTCTTTCTTCAAGTCTTGGCATCAAGCCAGCTTCCCAGCAATGCTCCACCAAGAGTCCCCCAGGTAGCATGGCCAGCCCTGCCTGCACAGGGAACAGTGGTTTGCTTCTCCATGAGGTGCTCAAGCAGACATCAACTCCCACTGAAACCACGCAGGCCAGACCCCCTGCTCGCTCTTACACCACCAGCAGCCCTTTCCACAGATGACACACACATACGGCAGGAGCTCTCTTTAAGATAAGCTCTTTGGGGGGACTTTCACCATTTATCTTCCAGACCTTCAGAAGCTGCCAACTCACATCCCTTGATCCAAGATCCCTTTGTACGCATGTGTAAATTTTCACAGGATTATGACTTAATTGTCTTATTTTTCTTATTTTGTCACAGAAGGACTCCTAGGTCCACACAGAAAAAGCATTCTTTGGAAGGTCATATGCTCAGGACATGCTCTGGACAACAAGAGACTGGACAGTCTGAAGCTCTCTAGTTGCTCAAAATGCCTAGCACAGTTATGTCCTGCGTCACTGTTGCTGGAAAACAGGTCTTCAACCTGAATTCTTCAAAGTTTATTTAGGGAAGTGTTCAGAATGTTTGGAATGCTACTGGCTTGCTTTTAAATACCATGCCTGAAACTTAGCAAAAGAAAATTAGCTACCCTCATGCACGTAAGAAATCTCTATTTTATCCACATGATTTCCCCCTCACAGAATACTCAGACATTGTTTGCTAACTCTTGAATGCACACAGCAAAGATCTCAGCAGTGGCATGAGTGATGGGTGTGCAGAGCACAGCTTTTGAAAAGCTAAGTACAAGTGTTCTTGCCTCATGGTCATGCTGCAAGGGGAGTCTAATGTAAGCAGTGTGGTTTAGAGGATTTAACCTTCACCCTTAGTTGCTGGTTTTGTTGTATCCTTATTTTGCCTGCTTTCAAAGAGCAGTCAGGCTTTAAAGCAAAAAAAGTCATCCTCTTGGCTGCTAAATTTAAAAAAAAATACAGAAAAATCAAGTCCAAGTGACAGCAGAGGAAAGAAATCCTTCATTCCACTTACTTTTGATGGTTAAACCAGTTTAGTTGAAAGCTTTTAAAAACAGAATTGTGTTTTTAAAATTTAGGAACAGCATCACAATTCAATTACACTATTCAGTTTAAGTTAGGGACAAAGGAAAAAACCAAAGCCTTTGAAGTTACCTGCAGGCAGTTCAGAAAATTCTTAATAATCTGACTTTCAGCACAGCCAACTTTCAATTATTCAGGATAATTGGAAAAGGTAGAAGAGGAAAGGAGGAAATATGAAAAGCCAAACAACATGTAACACTCCTCCTGTCCCGTAACCAGATGATGTGTTTGGTAGCTTCATTTTACACCTTCATATTTGAATTATAAAAAGGCAGGTTTCTGCATAGCACAGTCACAGCATAAAGCAGACAGGCAAACTGCACAAATTCCCTGCTATAAAGAAGAACCAAGCTCCTTATTCTGGACATTGGAATCAGTACACACCCTACTGCAAACAACCCCACTGCTGAAGTGAAATCTGAATAGTTGGATTTCCTTCCTCATTCCCCAACTGTGCTGAGGGTTTGGCCTATGACCTTCAAATTTGGCTGTTTCTTTCATAGAATTGTTTTGGTTTAGCTTTTACCTGCTCTCTCCCACAAAGGTTTCTAGAACATTTCTTTTAAATTTTAAAATGTTAAGTTAAAAAAAAATCCCAACAAACTAAACCAACAATTGGTGATGCACAACTTCCATTTTCAAGAGAGAGCACTGGAGTTTGCATAGAAAGAAGCCTGCTGGACAGGGTAAACTCTGAAATTCCATTTTCATCTCTGATAAATGGCATGTACCTAATTCTCCACAGACTCACTAAGGCACACCCAAGCTTTAAGCCAGGGAACTGGATTTTTCACTACTGGATAATTAGTACCTTACAACTGATAAAGTCACACCAATATTCCTACCTCAAGTGAATAAACCTGCAAGATTCACCAATTTGCACAGCCTACTGCCCAGCTTCCTCCTCTCTACCCTTCCTGTCACAGGCTAAAGTTCTTTTGGCACATAGATCATGCTTTTGTACCCCTCCCTTGTTTGCCTCCTTATCTCACTTGATGCTCCTCTAACCATCCTGAGGTTAACCAAGCATATTTTCCTGTGGGCTGATTGCAGGGAGCACTTCCTCCAGCTGCTCCCCTTCCATGCTGGGTGCTGGCCTTTGTATACCAGCTTCCTCCCTGCTGCAGCACAAAGAAATGGACAGCAGCTTCAAAGATGCTCCTGTGGGCACCAAACAAGCTTCAACTCCAACGCTCCTTTTAAAGGTAGGTAACAAGGAAGGAACAGACTTTCCAAGGTGTGTGCTTCCAAAGAAGAGGTGCAAGGTTGCCAAGAGGAAAAGGGGTGGTATTCAGTACCTTTCACTGTCCATTGCATGATGAAAATGCTCAAGTCAGTGTGGATTAACAACTGCCAAGCATGGCTCAGTTTTCATTCTTACAAACAGCACTCATGCTTTTAGAAACAGAATCAGAAACAAACTACTGGAAACAAACTACTGGAAACCCCCATTCCATCCCCTCTCAGTATTGTGTGATCCTTCCCCATTTCCCCGTACTGTGGTTGTCATGACATGTCTTGACACATTCACAGAAGATTCCAATTGTATTATTTTAAAAAAACAATAAATCCAACTTTCCTTGCTTTGGTAAGCCCAAGAGAAAGCCCTAAATATCATTAGCTCCCCAGATTTTAAGACGTTTTCTTTACAGTCACAAAATTTCACTGGAAAATTTTTCTGCTTTACTTGGGAAGAAGAAGATAAGAGATCAAAATCCATTGTCCTTCCAAATAAGGAAGAAGTTAGTTATGGGCAGGCTGTGAATTTCCAGGAACCAGTAAGAAGAAAAACAGAGCTGCGGAGGAGCAGTGGAAGAGTTAGGTTAATGCACACAACTCCAATGTACTGCAGATTTCTGCACTATTACAAAAATGCTTATAGCAGTGGGATCATGTCAACAGTGAATGAAAAGAAAACAGTTATTTTTTTTTTAAAGTGCCAGATCTGCTTTAAAGAATTATTTTTTTAAACATACTGATATCTATGCTATCTATGGGAGGAACTAGAGATTGGGGGGTTGTGGAAAACTTCTCACAATCTGTCTCGGTTTTGTTTTTGGGCGATTTTTTTGTTGTTTGTGGGTTTTTTGAAAATGTCTTTATTTGGAAAAGTATTCCCTTTAGAAACCATTGTTTCAGCATTTTTTCCCCTGCTGCACTGCATTGGAAAAGCTAGGTTTCATACTTTCAGCTTTAATCAGTACAACAGCACATTTACAGAGGACCATATGCACAAAATGTTCCAGAATGCCTTCCAAAAATAATAAGTCCTAAAAAAGAAAACTCACAGTAAACTGGAATGGCTTCAGGGGAGGAGAATAAAGAAAATCCGTGCAAAGGCAGAACTTCTTGTAACCACATCCAAGCTTGAAATGTTACTTTCAGTAACAGGG